CAGACATACATAAGTGCACATGTATTCATCTCCATGTAACGTTTTCCCTTTTCTAGTCGTGCCCAACTCTATGAAGCGGTATATAAGTCTAACTGCTATTGCTATTGCTATGTTGGGTGCCAGATCCAGACATACATAAGTGCACATGTATTCATCTCCATGTAACGTTTTCCCTTTTCTAGTCGTGCCCAACTCTATGAAGCGGTATATAAGTCTAACTGCTATTGCTATTGCTATTATCAACTTCACAACTACGGCGAGTCACTTATAACAACGGTGGCGAGAAAAGTTGTAAAATGGGGCGAATCTCACTTAGTAACTGTCTTATGCTCAAGTCGAATACCTAAAACCAGCCCTGCCATCTGATTTCCTGATTGAACAGGAGATTCTTGACGAAGGTCTTCATTGAGCAATGACTGTCAATTGTTTATCACAACTTTGGCTGAAAATAATAATTTTGCCAATAAAAATTGGATTCAAGTATATACACGAGTTAAGAGTTTAAACATGATTTTTTTTTCAAAGCCAGAACTTTTTCCTTTTAGGAGGGGTGGATATGCTGTTGGAAAAAGAGCCACAGAAGGTGATTTCAGTTTGTAAAGAGATGCACAGATATTACTGTGCACTCATAAAATGTGTGTATATCATGACATGATAGCAGTGTTCCATATCTAAGGGGCTGCAATAAAGAAGGGGGGGGCAACCTATTCTCCAAAGCACCTGAAGGCAGGACTAGAAATCCTCCAAGGTCCCTTTGAGCTTCAATTATTCTGTTATTCACAAAGAGATGGCAAGATTTGACATTGTTCATTGCCGGGATAAACAAATTGACTTGGTTGATTAGAGGAAACACATTACTGATATCCATCTATGGTAGGAAGCCCCATGTTTGCATAATAAATATTTTTATTCCATTAGAAATAATGGATTATAGAAAGAAGGAAAATATGATGCCATCTTAGAGAGAAAAGTTTAATTATAATGGGATATATAAAACTGCTGAGAAGATTGGAAGCACTTCTTTACACTTATATTCCGTTCTTTTATTTTCTTTCTTTCTTTTCCCAATCTTCTTTGCCCTTTCTTTCCTCTTTTTCACATTTACTATTTGTCTTTGAATGTCTTTTTATTGTCCATGTTTACCAATAGTTTACTAAAAACTATTTTTAAAAAAACAACAACAACCGGACTCTGAAAATTGTTGCGCAAATATTATTTTTGTTGGTTTCGTTACGGGCATTGAAGATTCAGGAACTGTTCCTTTCTTTCGTTTCCCCCTTTAACCCTGCCAATTTGAAATATTTCTTTTCGGATCAGCAGAAGGTATGCAAGGCAAAAAGAAAAAGACTTACGAGACTTGTTGATCATTTTTATCAGCAGGTATGGAAAGGTCTTGCAACTGAGGCTCTCATGGCGAACATCAGCAGTTACCTGAAAAAGGAAGACGTTTGTTAAAAATATCATCACACCCAGAGGAAACCCGAAGAGTTGGGACATATCCTTCGCACTTAGGGCACTGAAAAATACAAGAGTTGGATTGCAACAGCGTGTGATTAAACTACTACAGAGTCAAGGAGTGGGGGGAAGAAATATTGAATATATAAAATGTACGAAAATATGATAAAATTGTGCATCTATTTATTGTTTTCCTTCTTGATCAAAATGTAAGCACATCTCGAATACATTGGAAAGATTCAAATACATACACACACACACAGCATCTGCTGCCTTCTGCTCTTCTGTCTGTTCTTTTGAAAATTTTAATTTCTAATGTCAATTTTTATACATCATTTTACATTGTTTGTAGCAGTCAACAAAATATTAAGTACATCACTACAATGGCTTCTTTTTGATATTTCAGAGACTTTTTCTTCCTTTCCTCTTGCTCAGAATTATAAATTCTGCAAACACTTTTGAGGGAGGGAGGGAGAGAGAGAAAGAGAGCACATTTGAATCTTTTCAACGTATCTGGAATGTGTTTAAATTTTGATCAAGGATGAAAATGATGGTAAATAGAGGCACAATTGTAAATATTCTTGTCAAACGTAATCAATATTCACTCTGTTTCATTTACTGAACTCAAAATGAGCACCTCTGAAGATTTATCAACAAATGGTCAATAAATACATTTAACTGCCTTTTTGTACCTTATTTTCTTACGCTCCAATATATATTTACGCCTTTTCAACTTGGATCATGCAATACATGCGTTTGCATTTGACTAAAAACAGCCGGCTCTATAATGTTATATGTGGATATACGTATATCCACTCAGCAAAGAAACCAAAAAATAGTTCCTATTCTCCCTGCATTTTCAGACAGGCAATATTGTTTGTCTGAAATTAACCATGGGAAAACTTTAGCTTCCATCCCTTGCCTCTATATTCACGGAGAAACATTCTATTTTCGCAGAGGAGGGGGGGAAAAATAAGAATCATACAAAGAACTGCATTCTAATTTTTCACATTCAACAAATTTTAAAGGAAGATCTCATCCGTAATAAATATATAACAACCACAGAAACATATGGCTAAACATGTTTGCAAAACTAAAACACAAAACAACAGGTTTATACCCTGCAGATTGCATAAGTCCACTTTTTTCCTTTCATTTCAATGATGGGGTTGAGAAAGAAGTAGTAAAACCTTTCTCCTGGCCGCTTTCTCCACCCATGAATAAAGTTGCTCCCATCCAAAACCCTTCTGAGAAAGCAGAATTTACCTTTTGCAAGGTTCCCTGAGAATTTCAGCATCCTGGTCGTGCACTTCTCATAAAAGAGAAAATTTACATGCCCCTTTCCCTGTTTACTCTCGAACACACCTATGTTTGAACTCAACATTCATTCCCAAGCGGTGCTATAAATCCTGACCAGCGTGAACAAGAGATGAAACAACGGTTTGGGAAAACATATTCCCCGATTCTGATGAATTGTGCAAGAACTCCTGTCCGGTTTGCATCAATTCGGCCCTGATTTTATTATTTATTTATTTTAAAAAGAGAGCCTGCCCCAAATCATAAAATCTCTCCATTCTATTCTAGATACCCAATGCAGAAAAGATCAATTTTAATCCCTCTGAAGTACAGCAGCTTGGAAAGTGTGATTATGTAGCAGGAAATAGGATCTTCCTTCCCCCTCACCGTTCGGTCACCTTCTTGACAAATGCCGTGACTTACGACCAGTTCTTGCACTTACAACTGTGCCACATCCGAGAGTCACACGATCCTAATTTGGTGGCTTGGCAATTGTCATATATTTATGACGACTGCATCTTCCCAGGGTCATGTGATCCACCATTTGTGACCTTCCCAATTGGCTTTTGATAAGTTAAGAGGGAAGTCTGATTTCCCCTTAACATCCGCACGATTCACTTAACTATTATAGTGACTCACTTAACAACCGTGACAAAAAATGGTTGTAAAATGGGCGTAACTCACTTAACAACCCACCTTGCAACAGAAATTCTGGCCCTTGTTGTGACTGTAAGTTCAAAGACTTGTAAGCTCTTCCAAATCAACCATTTTAAGGTGTGTTTCATATTCTGTCTGCACCACATTTCCTACAACATGCTAAATCATAAATCATCCAGGCTCCATTTTAAACTAACCTAACTTGTGGAGGACACTCAGCCAATAGAGCAATCAAGGTCACAATGACACAGTCAAGGAAACAAGTAAAAACAAAAATTGTAGGCAGATGGTAATTACTCCCTGCAGGCTACCCCTGAGAACGTGATGGTTAAACTTGAGGCACAAATGATCAAAATAACCTGTTTCAGACACATTGTGCAAAGGCCCATTTTTCTGGACAAGGCTTTGAGGATGGGAAAGATAGAAGGAAAGAGAAGACGAGGATGATTATCAACACAGTTACAGAGATGATGAAGGAACCACTGGAAGACCAGAAGGACCAAGTTAGAGATAGAATACAAGCCCTACATGGCTTGGGACCTGGATATCTGCGGTACCGCCTCCTGCCACATACCTCCCAACGACCCATAAGATCCCACAGGCTGGGCCTCCTCCGGGTACCGTCGACCGGACAATGCCGGTTGGCAACTACTCGGGGGAGGTCTTTCTCTGTAGCTGAATGATCTACCTGCAGAGATCCGGACCCTTCCCATTCTCTCGGTCTTCCGGAAAGCCATTAAAACATGGCTGTTCCGGCAGGCCTGGGGCTGTTGACCCCAAAATACGATCCAGCCCCATTCAGAATGGAGTGCATGATGTATTGTATTTTATATCTATTTTTCTTCCCTGTATCTTACTTTATTTTCTTTTTTGATTATTTTTGTATTGTAAGCCGCCCGGAGTCCTATGGGATCAGGCGGCATATAAATGTTATTAAACTCTAAACTCTACAATGGGGGGAGAAATCTTACAGATTAACAGAGTTGGAAGGGACCTTATATAGTCCAACCCCTCGCCCAAGCAGGAGACAGGTCACCATTTCTGACAAATGGCAGTCCAGTCTCTTCTTGAAAGCCTGCAGGGATGAATTTTCCACACCTTCCGAAGGCAACTTCTGTTCCATTGGTTGATTGTTCTCACTGTCAGAAAGTTCCTCCTTATTTCTAGGTTGACTCTCTCCTTGTTCATCCATTATTCCTTGTCTGGCCTTTGGGTGCTTTGGAAAATAGCTTGACCGACCCCCTTCCTCTCTGTGGCACCCGCTCACTGCTACCATGTCTCCTCTGGTCCAGCTCTTCAAATTGATTTCTGCTGCTAAGAGGTACCACTGACTTGATGGCTCTTAATCAATCCATCAATCCCTGAGAAAGGAGCCTTCCTCTAAAAGCTAGCCATTTTTGTCCTTACAGAGTAGACATCATAAAACCAAGCCTTGTAGAGATCTTCAGAAGATTTCTCAAACCCAAACAAAACACAACAATCTGGGTCTCAGCAACCGCTTTTACACTTTCGACCTTCAGTGCTAGATATCCTTGGCGTGGGAAGGAAACCTCTGCCTCCCCGTGTTTCTGATCTACAATTCCCAACCCCTTTCAGTGAGCAGAGAATTGAATTCAGCCACACCTGAACATCACAAGTTTTGCATCCTTGCTTCACATCCAGCTCTGCGAACATGTTCAGCCTAAAAATGCACAGTATTACACGGCATTTCTCTCATACCTCTTCATCCCATACACCTTCGTATGTATGTATGTATGTAATATATATGTATGTTTACAATCCCCGCTTCAAATATGGCAAATAGCAACAACCTAAGAGGCAATCAACTCACAGCCGAGCAAACTATAACTTGCTTTATGTGTAATGCGAATATGTTGCAAAAAAGGGGAAAAAACCAACAACTATCAAAATAGTTCCATAGACAAATGAGAAAAAGAGGGAAGGGAAGGGAAGGAAGGAAGTCTTGAAGCCTTATAATTAAAACATTCTCTTGTTCTAAGCCCTGAGCACCTCTGATAATTTGCGGGACATTGCTGGACTTGGGTTCAAACTAAGAAGGATAAGTGATTAACTAATAATATCAGAGCCACCCCCTTTTTAATTATAATTATACAGTTTTCGGTGTATTACCTACCTTGCTCCCTGAAAGTGGGAAGGGGGCCACTTTACCCATTTCAACTGAACTGTATTAAGTGATGAGCTAAAACAGATCGGAAAGGGGGAAAGAAAAAGAGAGGAACTCAAAGGAAGAAGTGAAATAAATGAATGGGCAAACTTCTAGGCAACAGAAGAACAAAACATGGATTGCAATGCCAAGTGCAAAACTTGCAAAATAACTCCCCCAGCTTATTTTTTTTAACATAAAAATGCGGAAATACAGCTATGAAAAAAAAATTGTTTTTAATCCTTGATCCCTAGCTGTAGATCAGAGACCTCCAGCCTTAAAATGACCCTCTTTCCAGAGGATGATGGACTAAAGGATGGAGGGACTTTCCAAAATCTTTCAACTAGTAGGGCCCCAATTACTCTCTCTTGTGGATCTACAATTCTCTTTGCTTTGGAAGTTTAGTTCCACCTTCCAGCTGCCTGGGGGGGGGGGGGGGAGAGAGAATTTCAGGAACAAAATGACTTTGGTCGCTTATTTTGGGAGATGCCCTTTTTCATGCTTTCTATCCACTGCAAGAGTGAAAAGAGTTAAGTATACCACCAAGGCTTTGTACACAGATTTTAAAAAAATACATGCAAAAATCAGAAAACGCTTCCGAAACCAAGCCTTTAATTGGTCCAGGCCTTGTTAGATTTGCAAAACACACTCCCCTCTCTCCCTTTTTGTGATAGGTTAACAGAGTTGGAAGGGATCTTGTAGGTCATCTAGTCTAACCCCCAGCTCAAGCAGGAGAGCCTCTTTCTCTCCCTCTTTCTCTCTCCCCCCTCTCTCCCTCTTCTCTCTCTCCCTCCTTCTCTCTCTCTCTCTCTCTCTCTCCCTCCCACTTCTCTCTCTCCCTCTCTTTCCCCGCCACATT